CCTATTATGCAACCATACATTTAACAAGATTCCAATCATCCATCTATTCCTCTATCAATCCATTCATACATACATATTGATTGAGTGCTAAAAGCTTTTCTTAAAAATACCACCTGGTAGTCATTGCTTGATTGGCCTTTTGACTGACTAATTGGGAGGTGAAACAACAAGCAACCAACCAAATTAGTCAGTTATTCAACCCACTAAATAACCAATCAACCAACCAATCATGTAACTAAACAACCAATCAACCAAGCTGACCAGGGTGTCAACTATTCAGTGGGACAAACAAACCTAAAAACAACTGACCATTGAAAAACTCATGACCTGGTAACTTAGACTGTCATCCAAACAACAAACCCACCATCCAAACCTCAACAAGCCAGTCAGTCAGCAAATCAGTCACCCACCCATCAGTCTATCAGTCAGTTAACTAACCTGCCAATGAAAGGGACACTCAATACAGAAAGACCATCAGTCGTAGAACAGGTCGTTTGTGTGTAATTTGTCCTAAAAGGCAGGCGTACCATAGAAACACAAAGAACAGAATACAAATGGAACAGCATCATATCTCTGAACCAAATCCATTCTAGAATGTTCTTTTGTCAAACAGCCCACAGGATGTGAATGGTTGAATAGAGAGAGAGTTTGGAGTGGTCTTCAGACTAGGAAAGTGAGTCTATCAATACGGACCTTTCATCATTTACTATAAATAAACGCCTGTAGCCACAGGAAGAAAATGAAAACTCCTGGAATAAGTCAGCCAACCTGTCTGACACAGAAGTCCCCTCTGGACATCTGCTGCATCTGTCTGTCTCCCTTAAAGTTTGCTGGGCCGAGCCGTGACTATTGTTGTGAGACTCACTACTAAATAATGCATCAGACAGTCGCCTGCGTGACTTCCCATGTTTCCTTTGTGTGACTACGATGCAGCTTGGCGCACAGGCGTCCAGCAGGGCTACTAAAAGCCTTTTGTCATTCCCCTCCTTGTTTTTCCGCACGCTCAATTTCAGCGAGTTACGCAGAAACCCCCGCTGAATGCCAATCAGCGGGTTCCCTCCTTCGCTCGTGGAGGTTGCGTGGACCCCCCGGCAAAGGTCACTGTCAAACACATGCTGCCGTGTTAAAGTGAAACCAAACTGTTGTTGCTGTGAATATTAGTCATGTCAGCCTCCACTGAGAGGAATCCCCTGTCCAGGAACAGGCCACGTTGGACTCATTACACCCCAGATTTCATGCGTCGTTTCACAGAGTGCTAAGGTTTACACTGGCGTTTGTAGGTGGATGTTTCTGTGCCTCTCACCCAACAGCATGCTGGGATTACACTAAAGCTGTCAGTAGTAGACAACCTCTAGATCTGCCAAGTGTAGCCAATTAGACGTACTGAAAAGTTTTAAAATTTCACAACGCAAACAGAAAAAGACACTTCTGATATGCATCATCGACCAAGCTGAAATCAAAAATGTAAGTAGTCAGAATGTCCAAACGGACAGAGACAAGCTTTGGACATTTTGTGGCGTGTAGGCTGCGCTGACAGACAGGTGCCTGCTTGCTGTAGTGGCTGTAAGCACGGACAGTAAACACATGAATATATGTTTGTTGGTTGTAAGACAGAGGAGAGTTTACACAACAGTGAGGTGATGTGTGTGAGAGCGACAAGTAGCCTATGATGTACGCAGAAGTTGACCCCACGACCCCAAATGTCAGTGTGTTATTCTAACACTGTTCAATTTGAACCCTGGTAGCATGTATTGATTTACGGCCCAATAAAATTATATGCAAAAGTGTCTGAGGCAAATGTAGTATATGGCTGGTAAAAGGCTGCTGTAACATTAAAAAATATATATATTAAGATTAATCATGTCTGTGAACATTTGACCCTATTTTCCCCAGAAATATCCAAGTGACTGCTATTTTTGTTCCTGTTCCACATCTACAGTATCCACCACATCTAGTCCTGTCATTAGGTTGGGACACTGAATAGGAGGAAGTGAAAGAAAAGACCATCAATGATGATTATTGAAAGTTGGAAATGTCAAGACTTTCAAACTCCCACAGCTTATACATGAACCAAGTAATGAAGAAACTCAGTCAATATCAGACAGAGTGTGGGACGAGACCACCTGACGGTTTGTTCCAGAGGGCCCTACACATTTTCTGCCTGAATATTTAGTCGTACTCACTGTTCTTTATGGGGTTTTATCAAAACACAAGGGAAGCTACGCTGCTGTGGCATCAAACTGGCTTTTATAGGACTTTATAGGAATTGATTGACATCATTTATAAAGAAGGCGGGCCTAAGAGAGTGTCAACGAACAGTGCGTGGGCTTCAGCATGATGATCTGACAAGCATGCTTTACATTTTCCTGTTTCATTTTTGCATGATTATCATGTCTACTTGGTCTAGATGTTCATTCAATTATTCACCTACTGATGAGCCGCAGATTGTTGTCACACACCTTTTGTAGATTTAGTATGCACTTCCTTTTACACCTTATTCACACATGCTGAGACAGCTGTTCTTTTCAGTGACACGTCGACCAGAGGAGTCTGCGAACAAAGCAGACCTTTTCTTCCGAGCTGAGAAGTCTACATTGTATCTACGTGGTGGTCTGTACATGTTGTGTTGGAATCTTTTCTTTTTTTTACCATTGATGAGTGAGAAAAGATTAACAACAGAGCGCTGTATTCAAGAAACTTCAGCAGGTGTTTTTATATTGATGTTGACATAGTTTTCATTTTTCACATATATATATATATATATACACACTGAGAATTGTCGTTCGTGTTTTCAAAATGTCTATGGTTCTGATTCATGTTTTAGGCAGTCAGTTACTTGGATTCTAATTTTATGATGAAAAAAACCATGTAAAGGTTTTTACAAAAAAGTAATAGTTGAGGTGGGATGTCATTTCCCCTTGTTTGAAGAGATATTTATGATGACACAGCAGTACTGTCTGTTTGGTAAAAGTGCTTCAAAAAGACGTCCACGATGGGTTTGTGAATGGCGTGAAGTGTGAAAAGCATACTGGAAGTAAACAAGACTCAAAAAGAATCTTCACACGTACAGACATCTTAATTTTTTTTTTTAGTTATTTGATGGAGTGGCAGCTCAAGACAGCTGCAGGTTTGAATCCTAGTGGCCTCAGTTCTCACTAATGTGTCTGAAAACTGCCTGAAAAAATAGTAGAGACAAACTGTGAAGCCATAATCAAAAGTTTCCTGATAAAAAGAAAGACTTCTAATCTCACACGCATCACTTCTTCATTGTTCTGCATTTAGCGACAGCTATCACCTCCAGTTCATTATTCAACTCCAGTGAAGGGTGAGCCGAAAGACATAAACGGACGAATGTCCACCATTCACGTTCGCTTCAGTCTCAGCGGCATTGGCCTTCAGGTTGCCATGGTAACAGCAGGCATTGAGGTACATTTGAGAGTCTGAGTCAGAAGCTAGAGTGAGCGTCCCTGAAAGTTGTGAAAGATATTTATCCGGGAGCAGAAGAGGCAAAATAATACATCCAGAACATAACGAATCAGACACAGCAAGGTCAGAGAAACTCGCACACACTCACACACACACACACACACAAACACCCAGCTGTACAAAGTGTGAATATCCACCTCCACATACACACGAGAGTGAACGGAGAACTACTGTGAGTTGAGTTCAAACCTACATGGTTATCTTAAGTGGTGATTAGAAAACGTTGTGACAATATTTATAATGAACAGCTGTGAAGAGGAGGTGAAAAATGTCCAGTTTGGTTTCTATGACAAACACAATAAGTGTTGAAGAAATGATAACCTCCTCTAAGAATACAATTATTTCAATACATAATGTAATTAACTAATAAAGATAGTTAAAATTGAGCCAAAAGTAACTAAGTAAATGCCATAGTGAAAACTTAGTTCAAGGAAAAATTGCAAAATGACCATGTTTTCCAAACCTGACAGAAACATAGCTGAAACTATTTAAGAAATAGTAAAAGAGAGCTCTGAAAAAAGCTAAATATAGTCAACAAATATTAATACCATCCATCCATCCATCCATTTTCATCCGCTTATCCGTTACCGGGTCGCGGGGGCAGCAGTCGCCACCCAAATCACATTGCACCGTACCAAACCTTCCTGCGGGTGGTGAGTCCACTGGAAGGTACCAACCGCCCTAACCGGGATTCGAACTTGCCCAGGAGGTGAACCCTGGGGTTCCACACCAATGACAGAGACATTGCCTCTGGGCCAAAGCGCCACCAAATAATAATACGTTTTAACCAAATTAGTGCCTGAACATACACACTATAAGGGAACATAAATGAAAGACCAGAGATAACGTTGGGTGCAAAAATATAAAAAAACGGAAAACTTTATTCAATAATAATAATTAAAAAATGAAATTGTTCAATGTGTTTTTAAGGGGTAAAAAGCAACATCATTTCCGGGAAAACCTTTTAAGACTTTTTAACTAAAACCCCTAATAAAGATTATTCACTGTATCCACCTTGTCGTCGTTAACACCATCTAACGCAGCAGTGCCAGGATAAAGCTTTCCATTTGTCACAGTGTTACAGTTCATGGCCAAATACGGACCTACTAATCCGAGCACACTCATTCCCGGTTTATCGCGTTGTTCCAGCTCAGCCACTAGAGGTCAGTCGTGCATATTGTTCAGTTACAGAAACACTCCGGCCTTATTCATGTGGGGAGGTAAGTTTGCCTTGAAGTCAACACAGTTTTGTAGAAGGACAACAAACCTTAGAATGGAACCTGTTAGTGGTTATATTATAACAATTATTGTTTTGACTATTATTGCTTTTGGTGATTCCTGCCCACTACTTTACAAACCTCTATTTTTCTGTCACAGATTTCTCTAACAGAAACCCTAATAATAAGGGTTAAAAGTATTTCTACCCTTTCTATCACCTTAGGAAATACTTTACATACCTTGGCTTAAATTACATAAAAGTACCTAATATTATAACACAACAGTAAATCACTGACCTTGGGAAGAGGATCAGGCTTGTTGTCAGAGGATCCAGGTATGAAGGCCACCTAGGTCCGCTACTGAGAAAAGCGATCACTGCTCCCTGGGAATGGCTTGATGGGTAAAACAGAGAGGACAGATTTGGTTGACATTGAACTGTTTTGTACTCAATGTTCTAACAAAATAACAATAACAAAAGAATTGCACATTACCTTTAGATTAGCCCAACGACTGGCTTAACTGACCAATAGGGTGGATCAGGGATCAGAGGTCAGGGGTCAGATCATCTAAAACCAAAGAATAGAATAATATAATAATTGTTTGTCTAATCACTGTCAGGAGTAGTATGTTCATTTTATTTCACATGTTACATTGCAGCCCAAATAGTTTGACCAGAGAAAGGAATTTAGTCTGAGGAATTTTTTATCTCACAGATAACTAATGAAGTCGTAAATCTGTTGAGATGTGTATTTTTGGGCCATGAAGATGTAATCTTAGACTCTAAGAAATGTAGGACCAGGAAAACACCAGCTAAAACCATTGATTTAAACATTGATTTCAATGATTGTCATTCATAAGTCTGTAGCTGTGCATTAACTAGAGACTCATCAACCAAAAAAAAAAAAACAGATGGTGGGTTGTGAGACAGTTATGACTTGTAGCATCCTCTTTGTTAATGAGGTGGGATGACAACCTTGCACTTAGGTGTTTTGCTTGAGAACAAAATGTCATGTAGATATAATCCCAGCTGCATATCCCAAAATGTCAGAGAAACATGCAAGAATCTAGTTTAATTTAACGTCACTGGATCACAGGAAATACAAGGCATAGACAGCACACGGCATCACCATCAGGGTATTAACACCGAGCAAGGAGCACACAGAGAACAAACTGAATAATAGACTCTTCACAAACAGACTTGAACAATACAATAATCCCAAAATGACAGAGTGAGGGACAGAGGTGTATACATACCCAGTGAACCAGGTGACACCAGTAAGACTAACGACAGACAGCAGGAAGGGGAAAAAACAGACAGCCCTGAAACAGTATCCCAGTCTTTTAAATATCAATAACAACAGTACTTTTGTGTTTTACACTTATTTAATTATGAATGTGATTCAGTTGAATTACAAACTGAAAATACAGTGTGATGTCCTCTTTTGGATTTCCTACTAATCATGTTGTATTGGACACAGTAAATTCCCCTTTTGATTAGAAATACAAATGGACCTTTAGTGACCACTGAGCCATGACAGAAGATGATCTGCTCTCTGGGTCCAGTCTGTCTGGTATGCAGCATAATGAATGCAACAATAGGGTTACATAACACTGAAGCTTTACTTGTTTTTTTATATGACAGCTTTGATTTTTTTAACCACGTTAGCAAAAGCTCACAGGACAGTTCCCCCTCTTTACTGGCTTTTCGCGTTCTATATGTATATAAATCATTAATTGATTTTACAGTTACTGTATTAGGATTATACAATAAAATCCATTCATCACAGTAAAGTGAAATGTAATAAAAAAGAGTATTCTCAGCTTTTAGCATGTAGAATATTGTTAAAGTAAATCTGTTTGTATGTATTTGTAAGTATCTATTTGTTATAAATTAAATTTATTTCTGTTTTTTAACATCTAAAAACAAGAGTTTTATGACTTGCAAAAACAAAACACCTTACATTGCATCTGAATTTAGCTGAGTGCACGGCCATCATGCATCAGTAAGAAATACCATGCAAGGGTGATTTACATTTTAATGTGAAAAAGAAGTCAAGCAATTTGAAACGCTTCAGCATATTTTGATGAAAGCGTTTTGATTTTGATTTTTTTTAAATATTTTTATAAAATAACAAGTGACTGCTATTGTTGGCCAATCGTTACAGGAGGACAAATCCATCCATCCAGATATGCAGTTGTTATAAAATATACAAATATATACGACAATATTTACTTCTCTGCAAGATATTTTATGGTATTTTGTGACTTGTTTTGATTCTTTTTGAATGGCTCATATGACAACAGTTGTAAGCATTTTTTTGTTTACTTTAAATCCTTATGCTTTCCTTTGTTCAACCTCCTAGCAATGTTAGCGTTGTCTTTTACTTAATCTTTTTATATATCTTTCAGTTTCCATTTTTTGTAACTTGCCACTTTTTATATTAAAAAAATATTTCGGAATTACAGTGGTGATGCGTTTAAAGCTTTTATGGTATGTTATGTTATTCCACCAGTTACAACAAAACTGTTTCCAAATAATCGACCGTTTTGCCTCTGATGTATTCTTTAAAGCAGTGACAAATATGGTGCGTTCAGGGCCTTTCGCGTCTCTGTATCTGTGAGTACATGCCAGAGTACACGTGCCTCAGCCTCTCTCGTGTCAGTCCATGCTGCCTCAGTAAGCTTCGGACGTTGCATGACTCCTCTTCCTGTTTGCATTACTAATTGAAAAAAATATTTATTAAAGAGAAAATTATCGAAATATTTTATGTTAACTGTTTTTACATTTAAAGGTTTTTTTTACAAAAACAAAACATAACGTATATTATCGCTCGTAAGAGAATCTCCACGAGCTGTTTTGACTCCCCACCAATCAGAGCAGAGAAGCAGCAAAGCCCCGCCCCTTGTTCCCAGGCCGTTCTCTGGAGCTTCTGGAACATTTTGTTTACGAGGCTCTACTGTTCTATGTTCAACGTACCTTAGAGAACAAAACGAGGAAGAAAACAAGACGAAAAATAAGGTCGGGCGCTTAACTTAGAGGTTAGAGTTAAAGTAATGAAAGATAAACACGTTCTCATTCCATGCTTTCTTTCGACAAAGAAGAAGTTATGGATATTTGCAACGGTAGGAAGAGGAGAAAGGTAAGCGGGGCAGCGCGCGGCTGCAGGCAGACTGTGGTCAAGAAGATGAGGAGGGAGGCTTGTAAAGTCCTCCGCTCTCTAACGGTAGGGAACAATAACAACAAAAAACACCAACTCGAGACAACGGAGGAAGAGGATGAAGAGCAGGACGACGAAGAAGAGCACAGCTTTTGTGTCAGTTTCTTGTCGAACGGGCGACTGAAGGCCGGAGTCTCCCCAGTTGCATCCCCCAGATACAACCTTATTCGGGAAGTCGGCCGAGGAAGCTACGGTGTTGTGTTTGAGGCCATAGCACGGACTACTGGTGCCACAGTGGCCGTAAAAAGACTCCAATGCGACGCTCCTGAGAACGTGGAGCTGGCCTTGGCCGAGTTCTGGGCTCTAACGAGCTTGGAGAACCGGCACCAGAACGTGGTCCAGCTGGAGGAGTGTGTCCTCCAGAGAAACGGGCTGGCCCAGAAGATGAGTCACGGTAATAAGAAGTCAAAACAGTACCTGCGACTGGTGGAGACGTCACTCAAAGGTAAACAGAGAATCAGTGTCAACCAGTTAGAACAGCAGATGTAGTCAGCAAGAAACTGCAGAACGAACTTCACACAGCTAACTTTACCACTCAAAGTTTTAGTTGACTAATCGATGGCGATTAATGACTAATGATCAACTACTCAACTTAATGAGTTAATAAAACAGGTTCACCTGCTCTATCCTGACAGTAAACTGAATAACGTGTATGTGGAGAGATGAAAACATTTTCAGAACATCAATATTTTGTTTTCACACTCTACACACACTGTGATTTAATCTAGATTATGCCCTCGTAGATTTGTAGATATTTGTGAGTGTTTTGATATAAATGTTCTTAATTTTATTGCAGCATTATCATTATTATCGTTCAGAATGTCAGTGGGTGAATAATAAATGTCTGTCACAATTTCCCATTGAAATGAATGGGCAAAGTACCAGTTGGTTTAGGTTAAATTGATTGCTAATTTATTTTTTAACAATTCCTGAATTCCTGTTGTCAAACGCATTGAAACGCATTAATATCATGTGTTACACAAAAAACCTTGATTTAAAATCATGAAGGATACACCAAATTGCCATTGACAGCAAGTTGTATATACTGTATTTAAAGTAGACCTGCTGTGTTTTTGAAAGTTTTCTGAGCTCTAAATAATCAGTCACTGGTTCCATTCATTGCCATTTGTCTGTCAGGGATGTTGCTATATTTTTCCAGCAGCAGGCGCACACAGAGTACACTGTGTAGCCCCAGAGCTCATCAAGAACACTGTGTACTAAATGGTTACATGTTAACCCACTTCTGTTGGAATGTGGTTTTGAACATCAACAGTGATATTACTGTCTAATCCTGGACATTAGATTGAAACAGTGCTATTTTTGTCCTTTTTAAATATTTATGGCATTACTTTTGGAATTTGACCTAAATTTACTTACATTGTTATTGCTCTGTGGGATGAAAGGAACTGTGTATATTATTACTATAAAAGGCATCAAATATATACTAAAATTCAAATCAAAAACAGTAATGACAAACACTGTGAACGGTTTGGTTTAAAGATATGTTTATGGCTGAATTGGTGCACAGTGTTGTGGGCTTTCCCTATATCAAGCCTGGCTGTTACATAAGTGACATCATTCAGGCTGTTGGAATAAAATATTAATCTTGAGCTGACATCTTTTCTCAAAGTGTTCTTGTTTATAGGATATGGCGAAAGCTTGCAAATGACTCAGTGTTTTCTTTGTTTATAATCTGTCTTCTTAACGCAGTTAACCTAATTTTCTGACAGTGTAATGTGAGGTAACTCCCAGCCGTACTACAAGTTCACAGTAATACTTGGTGTAGGTTGTGCCAGGAGGACTGTTCTGATTGGACAGTTTAAAACTAGTTTAACTGCAACGTAACAGTTTGTTATGCCTACATGTAGGGGATTTAACTAAATAAGTTGCAGTTTATTTTCCATTGCATATGCCCAGGTTGACAGATGGTATTCCTTTAATTTAAAAAAGCTTTATAAAAAAATGTTTTTACAGGCCAAAAGATTTTCTGTTCCATAAACATGTTTAGTGGCTTTTGGCTGATAAACATGAATCAACATGTTTTTAATCTAAAACAAAAAAAAATTAAAATAATAGTAAACTTCATGAACACCTTTAGTCAAATAAGCTTACAGCATATACCATGAAAATCCATCCACTAAATTTAGCTTCTTAGTGTTTGCTGTTGGGATCAACTGAGGACATTTCTTTTGGAGACCCTGAATTCCAGGTCAGGCTTTAGTGCCCGCTGCAACGTCTGCAACGTTTGGAGACATATAGCGGCACGTTGCAGTGTTTAAAGTGTAAGCTATGCAGCTGACTGGATGAGATCATAATACAAAACGTAGACCCCAGTGGGGTTTTTTTCCTGAGAAATGTAATACTCAACTCTACTTCAGTTGTTTTTCTCAGTTCCCTGGAAAATGGAAAATTAGTTTAGAACTGTATTTCTGCAACTGTGGAGCATATAGTGAGGATAAAATGTGAGGACACAGGGCAAAACTAATAAAACAGGGATTAACAACAGCTTAAATAAGAGGAAGGAAATAAGCAAATGCACACATCTCTTTGTTGTCTATTGATTGATGTGTGTACGTTTCGGTGCTTACATATTCAATCAGTTTTCCTGGACATTAAAATAAGAAACATAAGCTGAATGTTCTAAGCCAAGAATAGAAGCTCAAGTTTCTATTCTTGTTCATTCCTGAGAAAAAGTGGTGAAAATATATTATTTTTAACTACAGAGAACTGGTGTTTTTTTTAATACAACTGTTTTTATAAATAGAAAAATGCATGAAAGTCACAAGCATTGAGCAACTGCAGCGCAACCAGAAAACATGTGATTTATCTTTATAGTGTTAAACTAAAGACGTTTGTAACCAAGTTACTAATCAAGTCACTGTCTGCTTGCTACAGGAGAACGCATTCTGGGTCACCCTCAGGAACCATGCTACCTCTGGTTTGTCATGGAGTTCTGTGAGGGTGGAGACCTCAACCAGTACATCTTGTCCCGTAAGCCTGACCCTCACACCAACAGGAGCTTTATGCGACAGCTGACGAGTGCTGTAGCATTCCTACACAAAAACAACATTGTCCACCGTGACCTGAAACCAGACAACATCCTCATCTCACAGAAATCTGGTTCCCCTGTTCTTAAAGTTGCAGACTTTGGTCTAAGTAAAGTGTGTGCTGCCCTTAACTCCAAGAACAGTGAAGAGAACGCAGCTGAAGGAGCAGGAGGCAGAGGTGGCAACCAGAACGATATCAACAACATAAACAAATACTGGTTGTCGTCAGCTTGTGGCTCAGACTTCTACATGGCCCCCGAAGTGTGGGAGGGTCACTACACAGCCAAGGCAGATATCTTTGCTCTGGGCATCATCATCTGGGCAATGATCGAGCGGATCACATTCATTGATGCTGAGTCCAAGCGTGAACTACTGGGTACCTACATACGTCAGGGCACAGAGATTGTACCTGTTGGTGAGGCTCTGTTGGAAAACCCAAAGATGGTTCTCAACATACCTCAGAAGGCCAGGAGCTCAATGTCTGAGGGTGTGAAGAAACTGCTTCAGGACATGCTGGCAGTCAACCCTCAGGACAGACCAGACGCCTTCCAGCTGGAGGTGCGGGTGGATCAGGTCACATGTAGAGCATGATGGCCATCACCGCTGTCAAACTGTTTCTTTATTCTCTTCTGTCAACATTGGACCTCCTCGTTACTCAGGTATGAAGACTTTCTTTAACCTGGTAATTTAAGAAAAAGAGAGAGCATTATCAATATCTGTGTTATCAACAAAAAACAAAAGACCAGAAAGACTTAATGGAAGGTAAAAAAAAAAAATATTCCAGTGTAGTTCCATTTTATATGATATAAAGAGAAAAATGTGTTGATGGTGTCTGTTTTGATAAAGTATTATATTTTTTAATAGTAACTATAGAATGGTAAGTAGTGTTTACACAATCACACAAGAAAGAAATGGTTTTGTAAACCATGTTTGATGGAGAAATACCATTAAACCCAACATCAACCCCAAATTTTAAACACCCTAAAATATGACATCCAATTGATAGTAAAATAGTAAAACACGTATTTTAAAGGTGAATAAACAATTTGAAGCCCGAAAAGAATAAACACACAAACAATTAAATATATAAATTAAGTTAATAACAGGTATGTATCTATGATTTCTATCAACTACACATGAGTATATAACTAAATTGAATAAGTAACTGCACTAATAATAATATATTTATGTATTTGATCAAACAAATGATAATAACTGAGCCTCTTAGGGCACATTTTTTGTTCTCCTAATCCCCAGGTCTGAATCAAACTTGTTGAAGTTGTTGGAAGACAAGTTTTCACTTATCAAGATGGGACACCTTTTAAAATGATACCAGAAGTATCAGAAGTTCATGATACATGTTTAGGTTGAGGTCATTTCTGATAAATAAATCAACATATTTCTTCTCTTCCCCCTGTCGACAGATGACACATGGCCCTCCTCAGTAATTAAATGTAATGACGTCTATTGGCTAAATAAAGTCATTAGATCGCTCTGTAATTACAGAGGTGGAGCAGTGAATGTAATGAGCTGCTTTGAAAAAGGCCTCAATGAACTCATCTAATCCTCTGTACTGTACAGTAATAGCACAGTTGGGCCAAGCTCAGCCAGGAACTGAGACTGGTGGGGAAGTGTCACTATGTCAATGCTAATATGACACAAAAAAACTACTAAAGTTGATTAGCTTTATTTGACCAATTACAGTTCATTACATTACAGTTTATAGGATTATTGCCTATGCTGTATTGCGGTAGAGTTTACTGAAGAGAGAAAATGATTTTTAGGAATTTGAGAGGTGTGTCCCGACCCTGAGAAAAACCGGCAGTTACCCTTTGTGTGAACATATTAATCACCCATTGAAAACTTCATAAACAGTCAGCACCGTTGATCAGGAACAAAACAAAATGAAGCAAAATCCTTATGTTTTAGTAATTCATTCGCTAAAAGATTAACTGCCTATCATTAAGCATCAGTCATCACCTAATAATAGTAATAATAAAGGATCAATGATCATCAATAACAATCACGATAACATGTTAATAACTTGAAATAACTATGAACTGACTTTGCCTTACTGCCCCTCCTCCAAAGAAAATAAACATTGTCACAAGTTAATTAACTTTGCAGTTTGGGAAAACTGTCCCCTGCAGATATTTATTGTCTATGATTGCTTTTTGGAGCAGAAACTCCTTGTAGGACATCATTGAACCGCCCAGTGGATGCTCACTGACCCATAAGTCAATGTGTTTGAACTTGAACCCTACAGTCATGAGGACTAATTCAAGCCTTTGTTTGACACTTTCATCTGCATTTACCCCATACTGTGTGACCCCCTCACCCCCTTCCTCCCCCAGCACAGCAACCCGGCCTCTGTGCTTGGTGACGTCAAATCTTTCTACTTGTGACGCGCAAGATGCAATTGCATGTTGGCCTGTTTGTTGCCGATTGGCCTTGTTGACTTGTGGGCTGATGGGATACTCTATTACATAACAGGCACAGGTTCCTGCACTGGTGGAATGAGAAACGCTGTGATTTGCTGAAGCGAGCAGATTAACGGCTGTGGAGTGAGAAAGAGGGACAGGAGCTGAGGCAGTTGTTAGGAGCTGGTGGTTAACTTAGAGGAGATCTGATGATGTCACAGTGTAATAGCTATGCTTCAACATTCAACACGTATGCAGAAATGCAAAAAGTATGAATAAACATACAACCTTACAAATGCGTGTTTTACTATTTTACTTACATTTTTGCAAATTGTATGCTCTGTAAATCTGATTATTTTACTAGGTTATATGCCTGCTGTTGATTTAGTTTTTAAAGCAAATTATGTCATTATGCCAACAATGTAAATGAAATCAGCCATGCTTTGTATTTGTAATTATCACAGCGATTGCATTTTCCTTTTTTGCATTGCGTATTAGAGTGGCAAGGCCAGCAATTCAATCCCTCCCCACTCCCCTGCACCTCCCTCCCCACGCATACACACAGCTGTACGTACTTCTTTTTTTCTCTCTGTGTCTTTGTTTTTGAATGTGGCATTACCCTCCCCAATCCATCCATCTCATCCCCTTCCTCCCCCCACCCTCCCTGTCTGTGCTGGACAATAAGAGCTCTGCTCTTAGTTCAGAGCTTATAGAGACTTACACCGGGAACATTTTGTCCTCTCCCTTTTAGCCTGTCGTGTGCCGTCCAGGTGTAAACCAGGCCACAGCACTTTAAGGCTCGCCCTCCCCACATGTGCTGTCTTTATTTTAGGAATCCTTGTTGATTTACTGACAACCCCATCAGGCTTTTTGCAAGTCCAGGCATCTAAAGGGTGTTGTCCCTCCACTGCACCCATGAATGCCTCTATTAACCACAATATATTCATCTAAGCTTGATTCATGTTTTTCCTCTTTGTATGTCAAAAGGTTTTTGTCCATCCACCGTGATGTTAATTAACATGAGTCATTTCCCTGTCTCGTCACATTAACTGTTAGTACTATCAACCATGAGTGCGTTTAGTGCATCACTGGTTTGACCCTCAGTGTTGACTGATGGTTCCCTTTTTCTGTAGATAGAACTACTGTTGAGACTCTTCGTGTCAACACATTCAGACAATATTACTAAACATTATTTAACACGCTGTAACAGCTACAACACTGCTATTCTTATTTATAGCAGTATCAAGTATCATTAATTAAGTTTCAATATTTACAATTAGGTAAATATTTCAATGGAAATTAATTTTCCTTGCTGCGGGCTCAATGCAATAGCTGTGCACCAGAGGTGGACCACAGATCCAAGAGAATGTACATGTTAGTGTTAAGGAAATGAGATTGTTTGGACAGCAGTTTAGAGACAGGGTTCAGTGTGTTCAGTATTGGCTCAGTCAGTGGGAGTATTGTGGAAGGACTGGAAAACAGCTTCAGGGCAAACCTTTAGAGGATTTTAGAAGCAGCCATGTACATATTGGTGGTCTTATGTAACACTTCTCTTATGCAATAAAAGTTCAGTGGCTGTGAACATGTTAAACGCGTCCTCAAGGCCTGGAGGGCAGCAAAGAACCAAAAGACAAAGTTCCACCATCATCGGTTCGACTGTGGGACCAACATGGACCAGAATGGCATGGATGTACATTTTTTACAGTTTGCTCTCCTCATTCATGACAACTGTCATGGATCTAATGGGTTTTAAGATCTTTAATCTACAGTAATCTCCCCACAGCCTGAGTGACATCCATGACAGCCTTTAGTCACTACAGGTGCTGCGTCACAGTTTGGCAAGCATGTCACTGGATTGTTTCCTGTTGATGGTTTGCACTGTTTGAATGACGTGAGAGAGTTTGACGTTTGAATTATGGATGAAAAGAGGTGTGGTCAGTGTCTGTGCTGGACCGCAGGCACTTGGATTTGCTGTGTTACTTCTGCACGCTCGGTTCTGTGACAAAATAAGAACTTCATGATGGCAGGATTAACAAAGGGAAGCAGATGCTAAAAGACAGCTTCAGCAAAATAAATGTGAAGTTCTTTGTCCAACTTTGTCCAATTTAAACCAAAGTTACTTAACCTTTGGAAAATAAATTCAGATGCAACATACTCATAAAACCCAAAATTTACAATGTGCTATAAGAAGCAGAACAATGCATGTTTTTAGTTGTTGTAAGTCAGTGGGGATATGTAAGTAATAAACAGCATTATGTAACAACAATACTGTGTAGGGTATGGAAATCAAATGATTATTATGTACGCAAATATGCTAAAACCAATGGCTGCAGAGAAATTCAAATGATGCTGCTCTTTCTTGGATAAAGCAGGCCTTGTTGTTTCAGATTAATTATTCAAATAGATTGTGAGAGAGGTGAACAAACCGTCCAAACAGTATGAGCATTTGTCCAAGTGTTTTATATACAGAGCCTGGACATCTGTTCTTTGAATTTGATGTTGACACTTGATAGATGATAAATAGGAAATGTTAGTCAACATTAGAATGCTTTGTGTCTCGTACCAAGAACAATTTGTTGCAGTACTGCAGTTTAACCACATCAGCCAAGTCAAAAACACAGCTCCTTCTTTTAAAGGGTGCAGATTAAATGAGCTGCATTCACTTTATCAGCGATGATTAACGGTTGACATCTGATAAAAACACCCTGTGACAGCTGTTCTTTGGATCCAAGTCAGTTTGAAAGCTTACAGCCAGAGTGTGTAGAGTTGTGTAACCTGGTTGTTGCCTGGTTGTTTATGCAGGTATGACAGGCATGTTTCTAAACCTGTGCCTACGGTCAGAGAGTCAAGGCATTCCCACGAACAGGTTCGACTGTTCTTTGCTGAGGATTCTTAAAGCTGCTCCAGCATGTTTAAATAAAAACAGAAACTTGGTCAGTATTAGGTTAGGTATATAGACAGGTAGACAGGTCAGAGGACAGTTAAGTCACTATATTGGCATCTGTCAAAGAGGCTTTTTAAAATGACGTCGTTTTTAAGCTAAACTGCTGTCCACCTGTGGTAACTTTGTTTTAACAGTTTCTATTGTTAAAGGGAATCTGTACGTATATAAAAAAACTGATGTTTATCCTCATAACAACACATGGTCCTGTGGTCTATTTGCAAACAGCCAACCAACCAGGGGCAGCTGACAGCTGTACTTTAAACACACACTCTCTACTGTTTTTGTCAGAAGGTTCAGAGCAAACAAAATGGTTTCAAACATATTTCTCCAAGGCCTCTGAAAAGTTGTATTTATTTGTAGAAATTTTTCATTTCACAAAAATGCAGATAAACCAGTTGTTGCATAAAGAGCAGATCCATGTTGATTCACTCAGTATCTGGTACGTGGCTGCGTGCCCTCTGCTAAGCTGACCCATTTGTGTCTAACCCATGTGCTGTGGGGTTATGCAACCTGGGTAGAGAGCGAACACACCAGTGCAGGCCCACGCTGCCATGTCAGACACTGTGCTATTATTAGAACGCAGCTCTCCACTCAACCTGGGGCACATCTGTATCCAGTAAAGTGGATCAGTGTCAGATGGTGCTGTCGTTTTACTGCTGGTAGTTGTAAAAAGGTCTGCTAACATTCATGGTGACGGCGACCTATAAATCAGCCCAGTCTGTCTGTGATCATCAGAACATTTGTAGGTCTGTCATAATCACTGTGTTTAAATAGTGTTGTGATGCAGACATATTGCAACAAAAGATATTATTTTCAAGGCAATCCCTGATTGTTGTGGTCACATGAAAGTGAAAGCATTGGTTTTTGTGTCTAACATTTAACTGTGGAATTTAGTCTGTGGTCTCAGCAAACATTTGAGCTAATATATACACGTGTACTGTGGTCTTTTGTCTTCTGACTGCTGACAAGGCATTTCAAACCTCTCTGCGTACTTCAAGGTTAACTCTAACTTTATTCTCATCGCCTCAGACGCTCTTTCGCTTTATTCTCATTGTGCATCCTGATTTTAACATTGTATTTTTTCGCACCTTGATATTGTATATGGAGTTGCTGTTAAACAATCCTAATAGACTGGTCACTCTCCCAACTTATTCTTAAAATGAACACTTAAAATCTAAAGTTTGACACAATCTTATTTAATTTGTTTAAACATGTTTTATTGGTTCACACTTTTTAATTACTACACATTTACTGTGGGAACCTTTAAGGTTTTCAACTTTTAAAAAAAACCCAATATACTGTATATGTATGTACATATGTGTATATTTTATACATATTTTTTTCCCTGTCTCTGCAGTTTTGTTTACTTCATGGACTTGGACTTGGATGGAAATTAAAGGGACTTTGAAACTGAACTATGAACGATCACCATCCTGTTGGTTAGAATGTGATGTGATGGATGCTGCTGATGTCATCCAACAGGAGTCCACAGAGCATCGTCCTCATCTAATCTCTGTTACCACGGCAATAGTCTGCTGGGATGTTGATACTGCTCTTCCCCTAACACCTGTTTGATTGTGGCACAGTGTGACATCGTAACTCTTCACTGCCCTCTCTCACACCATAGTGCCTTCAAAGCGACCCACAAAGTGCAATCAAAGGTTTTGGAATGAGGACGTAACACAGGTTTGTGTGTTAGGTGTTGACCAAAAGACTTTTTGGTTTAAAAGAAATGTCAACTTTCGGCCGTGAAGAAGTTAAAAACAAGTGTGACAACTTAGTGTTCTGAATCTGGACTTTCTTCACACCAAAAGTGGGCAAAATCTGACTTTTTTGCCCACACGTAACTTATACTGATTTTCTTTAATATTGGTCCAAGCAGCATGGATGGAGTCAGTCACATTTAAATCATAATGTGTACAACTGCACAACAGCCATATTCCCAACCATGTAACCACAGGGTGGATGCAGTCCAAGTGTTCCCATTCTTATGGAACTAAAGATAATTTGTCACATTTTTGCTCAGGTTAAGACGTTTTTTCCAACAGTGTTTCCTGAACCAGTGCCACAGACCAGAGAAACATGCTGCAGACATGCTAATTTCAGTAGATTATTTTAACAGAAAACAAATGGAGGCAGGCTGGTCTTCAATTTGGATTCATTGATTATTTCTATATTTCATAGCTTTTCTTAAATCCAAAGCTTTAGCAAAACAAAAATCTGCCAACTGTCAACAACAGCCAATCAGAGACCAGAATGTGTTGAAAACAGCTGAAACGTCAAGATACAGAGACTTCTGTGATGATACAGGAAAGAACGAACACAGGCTAAAGAAATCCTGGTCTGGTCTTCACTCCGTGTCACTTCTCACATATGTTCTAGCGGTACACAGTGGTCGGGGCTAACCCTGGTGAATGGCAGTGTGACCACCACTGTTGTGTGACCACACACGGACTCCAGATCAGTTGACCACCTGTGGTGTAGTGTGTCTCGCAGCTTTAAAGTTATTTTGACCAAGAAGACATTTGACAGTGTTTGTTAGACTAACAGGTTTGAATGTTGTTTGAACTTTTACAGTGAGAATGATTATAACATTTTAGAATTAGAATATTTGATCGACCTTTTTAGTTTTTCGGGTTTCTGTTGTTGTGATACAAATAAAAGGTCACTCTGAGAGAACAGTGTGACACCTGCACAGTATTGAGCCATCTGGACCTACTTTTTTATTAAGTGTCTGATTGAAGGGACTTTTACAGGAAATTTGAAGATTTGCCATCTGGACGTAATCCGCCAAAAGTACTCGTGGAATACCCACCCTTATTGCCCCCGCCCCTCCCCTTTAGTCAAATGTCTTTTCAGTGGCATGTTGCTGTGTACAACACACTGAAGCACTGTTCACTGCATGTGATGTTTTAAATATGTGATATTTAACCATCACCTTCCAGAGGTTTGACAGAACCATTGAGCTGTGTCTTAGGTCGAGGTCAGATACAATACAATACAGAAAATCATTTCTAAACACAAACTTGAAGTGGTGTATAGACAACAACAAGCTGAGTCACAATGCAGTGGTCACCAGTTAGTGTTATAACAGATGGTCCAGCAATGGATGATCTGCACGTACTCGACATCTGGATCTTTGCGTTGTTTTTTATATAGTTATATATTTTGATATCAAACCTGGACCTCTGATTTGCAGCAGAACTAAATGCTGTGTTTAAAGAAGGCTGACATGGAATTGAGAAACAGATGAACAACTAAATACAAATAATTATGCAATATATATATAATTGTGCAAAATAATTCAAAACAAAACTGTCACTCAGGGCTGTCACTTTTGATCTTGAGTTCTGAAGTACTGTTCTGAGAGTGACTAATGTACTTTTAACACTCCTCTGTCTTAGTGTGAATTCTGTAAAATAAGATGGTGGAACTGGTTTGATGAGTAGCAGGGAAACATCCTTGTCCTCATATGTTGACTAGACAAGACATTGATGTCTAAAAAGTGGCATTGGAAGTCATAACAAAAAAGGGATTTTAGTTTAGTACAGGAATTGTAAAATCTCTATTCCATGTTAATCCCTCTGTGCCTGCACCTACTGCTCACTTACTCTCCTCCACTGTTTCCACAACCTCAGAACAAGAAGCAGGTGTGGCTGTTGTTAGCAATAGTGTTTGAAGTGTGACAATACTCTTCTCCTTTCCTTTCCTCTAACAGTTCATGCCTTTGTACCTGAGATCCAAACAGCCAGGAAGTACCAGTAGATTTACAAACTATTTAAGTGTATCACTTAAATTTGTTTAAGTACAGTACATCATTTACAGCGTAGTGTAGCATCTACAAATGTAACTTTAATGTCTTACATGTAGAAGAAGATGAAGTGTCAGTGTCATGTGGTCCTACCTCATCCCCAGCTCCACAACAGTCTCAGTAAAACCTCACTTCACTTTGCTAAAGTGGGATATTTTTTTACCTCAAACTCTTTGAATCCCTAACCTGCGTCTGACTTACTTGACTCTGTGCGGTTTAATGAACTAAAACCTAGCTAAGCTAACGCTTCAGGAAACAACCAAATCTCCTGTGCACAGCACACGTGGACCTAACGTACGTCTTCCTCTTGTGCACAGTGCAAAGTTAAAGCAAATGTTTCCATTCTTCACACACACAGTTTCTCACTGTCACTTGTAAACTGCCTTTTACTTCATAACTTTTGCTACATGGTTCCCATTGTTTCTCATTCAGTTAACCTTTTTGGTATGTGAAATCTATCTAAAAAATAATTTAAAAAACTCAGTATGACATTGTGATGTTCATTAGCTAGCAGGTCATTCAGGTTTTATAGTTTGGTCCTGCTAACCTTGGTGGTCCCTGCACTGTACCTTCATATTTGAGCCATGTGTTCTGCTCCCAGCTTGTATTGATTCCACTTGAAAACTCTTGACACTATGCAAACTCCTTCACTGTAAACACTGCCTATACAGTTGAAAATGTGTTCTTTAAATAAACAGTGAACCATATCAGAACTCTTTCTCTGTTCAATGCTCTGTTCCTCTTGTCTTATTACCAATCCTCGTACTGATCTAAAGGTAAAGTTCACCTCTGACTGGATCAGTTCCTTTAGACCTGGACCGTGGCAGACTAAAGGTGGATCTGACATTTGTTATTATCTTTCATCCACAGTGTCACTCCAGCAGCAGACACCCTGTTCTAATCACCACCCAAACAACAGCCTACACTCCCGCTGATTAAATCTCTCTGTGCTGTACTGTTGACATACAGTGAGCAGTGAACAGATACCATCTTTTTTTAACCTAAAATTGGCCTTTTGTATAATATATCCCTTTTAGACAGGCGACGTCATGAAAGTAAAAGTTCGGTGTTAGCCATTTTGTTGACTTTGGACAAAGTTTTTATATTTGTGTAGGAAGAAAGATTTCCTGTAGATCCAACATTAGTCCGAAGGCAACAACCGGCCTCTAGGTTTGTCAACAAAGAAGGTTTGGAGACCATTTTTATGTTCATTCATATTAAATTCACATTAACAGAAGCAGAGACTCTGTTGGTATAAACAGGCTCTGAGACAAAACAAAGAACTTCCTCTGTCCTTAAGATTTAACAAGGAGGAGGAAAAGCTCCCAATAAAACAACTTTTAACTGCAAAACAACAAAACACTGAAGCAGGAGAATCACAGATGGTCACAGCAGGGCCTTGGAGGAGTTTAAGGTACCATCACATATTTACACTGCTTCTCATGCAGGCTGTTGGATGACACTTGTGATTGACAGCAATACGACATTGGCCTTGTCACAACAGTAGTGATCCATTCACACCAGTTAACAGTCCATTGCTTAAACCCTGTGAATCGAACTATAAGCTAACACTGAGTGGGACCCCTCGACCCACCCAGTAACAGTGATTGGTCCCACAGCACAGACAAACCCACACAATGACCCACCTCCACAGACACAGACACAGACAGACAGTAGTGGGCTTGTCAGCGTTCTGTGCTCAAGCCGTTGCCCTGGGTACACAGTGTTCTAAGGAAAGAGGAGGCGTTGTGAGGGTGGGGGTGGGGGAGCAGCTGATATGGGGCTAAATGGTAGGGGTGTTCAACACACTGCTGGAAACAGCTGTGACGGGAGCATTAGGTTCATAATTGATGCCCCGGCAGTGACCATCGGGGCTGAGACGGTGGAGGATCAGACTCTTAGTGTTAGTGCATTTAAACAGCCATCACACACACACACACACACACACACACACACACAGTTCACTACAGGGCGTGGCCAAAGAGGTTTTATGTCTTTTGGTAAATCAATCTCTTCCCATTCCCTTTACTTGCCTTTCAGGGTAAATCAATCTCTTCCCATTCCCTTTCTCTTCAATCTCTTCCCATTCCCCTGATCAATAATCATGGTGGACAAAACAAACTCAATTATCTTTTTCAAGTGTCAATATATCTAGATACAGACTAACATGTGAAAAAAAAAATCCAGGTTAGAAAAGTCTCTCTGTGAAGGAAATGATTTTACTGTTATGAACACCATGTAACATGTGAAGGTGCAACTGTACTGGTTAAAACACATGAGAAGGTCATGTCTGCAGCAGACTGGAGTTATCACATACACACTCACTTCGAACTTATTTACTTATAAGGGACTCTTATTTTGTAAAATGTATATTTGGTAGATTTTTTCCAGTAGCCTTTCCAAAGGTAGAAAAAAAACGAATGATTTTTACTGATATCAAAACTGTGTGGTGTCGAAATACTATGGTAAAAAAGTCAGTCTGTGTGTAGCTATATTACTGCTAATACTATATTACTGTATAACTATACTGATTACCCTCTTGTGAAGTAGTAATGTGTGTGTGTGTGTGTGTGTGTTCTACAGCAGCAGTCGGCGGGTCCTGACCGTGGAGATGATGCTGTGTTTTTAGGCCTGCTGCCAAAGAACAACATGTTCCTGAATGTAAGGACAAGCAGGGAGGGGCTGAGTCGACGTGCACTTCACTGGTGTCAGTGAGTGGGGGAGGAGGAGGGGGAGGGGGAGGGACGGGGGGAGGGAGACCACGACCACTCCCTCTGACCTGTGTCCTCATACATGCCGTCTCTGTTACTGCGTTGTGACATGTAGTATTCATGTCCGAGTGTTAGAAGTTTTTGTTGTTTTTTCTAAAGGCTCAAACCTGTCAGCTTGTTGTCATGTTTTTACTTAAACTACAACGAGGTAAATACATTGAATAATAGGTAATTTTTTAAAGCAATAAACCTGCAATAAAGTTTCTTCTAAAACATGGAAATATATGTTTCACTTAAATTTGAACTATAAATCTGACCATCACTGTTTCTATATTTACATTATAGATACAGAATAACCATTGGGATTTACAACTACTGTATTAAAAAAAGCATTAAACCATGATATTATTATTAATAATATCATATTAAGATTAATATTATTATTTTATTAAAGCATTTTGATTTACATTCACTTTAAGATTCAACTATTAGTTTTTATGTCAACAAACATCCAACAGTTGAACTGATTGGTTAAGATACAAAGCTTAACATTTAACCTTCAGATCCCAGATGAAAAATAAGCCTTTGTGTTAATGTTGACTCTCATTTTAAAGACTTGACACCTGTACGTTTACATTTTTTATTATAATGTTTTTTTATTAAAACAGTTTTATCTGTAATTTTTTAAAAGCATGATTTTTGTGACATCACATCTTTTTGTTGTTTTACATTTAATGTCGCAGTTATTTTCAGCGTGTATCACATTGAGAATCATGTCAGCATATATAGTTATATTAGTGATCCAACGCATTATCTCTTTGTTAAATATGGCGTCTTATTTTAGCGGTCTCTCCATTAGGACACAGCTCAGTCTGTTCCCTCCATAAATAAGGTTTTCTTCTCCTGTGCTCTGGGTGTTAAATGGGCCTAATGGCTGCTCTGTCACCGTTCGGGCTCTGTGTCCTCACAACAGGACTATTGATCCAGGTTCATACATCAATATGTATTCAAACAAAGCTCCATGTTCCCTAATGGTGGCATCAAAGTATCTGGAGTGTGTTTTGAATGACTCATTTTATGAAAGGAGAGGAGGGGTCAGAGGAGGAGGGTTTGTTAGTTTACAGGTTGTCTTTGTGGCGTAGGATAATAAAAATGAATGACACCTACACGATCCCGACTGATATCTTTTCGTAATAGTCCAGTTGGACTTGTGGGAGCGACAAATCTGTTGGTGTCCGACATCGGAGCCTGATGTTCTGTAATACGACCAACTCACAGCTGTATGTGTTGGCCAAAGGTATGTTTACTGCATATGCTGTACTGTATTCATCAGTGCGTAGAAATACGGATACGTTGGTGGCGTAAAGTAGCCTGGAGCATTCCGCATTTTTCTTTTGTGAGTAATTACTCGGAACTCGTGTCCAGCTTGTGTACTACTCCGAAATTGGTTAACCAAATATCCACATCAAAAACACATTTAAATGTCCAACAATACTTCACAACAAATCGACAGACGCTATGACTGAGCATATTTTATATATAATGTATATGAATATATGTATACATATACACATATATACCAATATATGTATATATGTGTATATGTATATCTATATACATATATATACTATTACACATACATGTATATACATATACACATATACATATACATGTATATGTATACATATATATTCATATATATTATATCTCAAATATGCTCAGTCATAGTGTCTGTCGTCTGTCGAGGCGTTACCACCCAGTGTTAACTCCTCTTTAGGTCAGTGCTTTATTACTAACCCACTTTTCACTTCCTGCCCTAAGCCTTTGTATCACTGACACTGTGGAAGTGGGAGTGTGCACAGGTATGCATGGATTAGACTAATCCTATTGGTTGATAATCAGCTGTGAGAACCAGCTCTAAGGAAACTCGCCCCGGCCACCCATGCCCTGAGCCCTCAGTAAAGCTCTCATCAATGATGACCCAGCAGGTTGGTACAACTTAATTTCCACTGCATTGTCATCATGGTAAGAATTTAGTTTGAGGTCAAATGTAAAAACGTAATATTGATGAACTCAATTTGTCAATCATTTTCTCCACTGTTTCCGTTGTCAAAGTTAAGTTAAGTTAATTTACAATTTTGAAATAATGTTCCAATTCAGATCAGTAAAAATGTGAAAAAGGGAAAACATTGGGACAATACTACAAATGTGTGGGCCACAAGTCTCAGCTCATCAGGAAGAGAAAGGTTCAAATTAAAAGAATTCCACATTTTCTGATCCACAGCTCATGAGCAGACAAACACTTGTTACGTCCAAAAAAAGAGTTATACCTTTAGACAAGGAGCAAAGAACGATTCTCATAACATGATAGAAGTCATTCAAGGCTAAGGAGTCAGGACTTAACGTGTCACAGCTGATCTGGGATGTGACATTTGAAGTGTGAGGTTTAATTACCAGCAATGAAAGAAGCAAAACTCGGGGATGAACAGAATGAACTAATGTGAAAAAGTCCAAACAATACAGATCAACAACAACCTTAAATAAGAACACAGACACAAACGGCACAAAAGTTCAAACAGACAAAAACAGGTTTGTGTGGTTTGTATGAAGAATTACATGAAAATATAGACATATAACATTAGACATTCTCTCTGAAATTATCTAGATTAAACTGGTAAATTATCATGAAACTAAATATTGTAAACATGAGCACGACAATATGTGTGTGTGTGTAGAGAGAACACTATGTCCTACCTGGAGGCATCCTGACTGGAGAACTTTGCTGCCCCCTTTCTGCCAGCAGTGACCAGTAGGTTTAGCTCGATTTTTTAAAGGCCATCACTGTGCTGATGGAGCTGGTTAAAAACAAAAACAAATGGTAAACATTAAAATTATTTTAAATATTGGCTGTCTGCTTTTCATTTTTTTATGACTATCATCTTTTCCTGGGTCCCGCTGTAGCTTAAAGCTTTATTTCCTTTTTCTACATTTGATATGATATT